TGCGATAAAGCCTTCCTGTCTTTCCGTTGTTTCTCCTCCGTTGTCCAGTTTGCTGGCATTTTATCAAAACCCAGCAGAGCATCGTCCAAATCCATCTGCGCCAACACAGCCCTCATCTTTACTTGCCATAGCGAAAACCTTGTATTGCGATCTAGCAGCGGAATATCATATTTCAATGAAGTCATCTCTGAAAAATCTCAATCAAATCACAAAGAACCTGCAACCTTGGCTCTGATACCACTTGTTGGGAAAAATCGCCTCGAACGCAGGAATTGAGATTAATGACGAATTGAAATAACAAAGATCACAAGAAAAAGAACAAGATTAAAGTAAAGAAAATAGAGGAGAAATTGGCAGAGGAATCGATGTTTTATTCAACAATATGGAGAGAAATTACAAAACTTAGCAATATTGGCTTCTCTTGTCTCTAAAACTGAATGAAGAGTCTACTATTTATAGGGAAGATGTCCAAACCCAAGATGGAAACAAAATAAAAGAAAATCACGTGAAATAAAGGAAAAATATTTTCTCAATATTTTTCCAATAAAACACGTGAAATAATGGAAATAATATTTTTCCAAATACGTGCAAAGAAGGAAAAATATATTTCCAAATATTCCAACATAATTTTGGTTTTTCACATATGGTAACCCTAATTTGGGTCACTTATCCCAACAACTACCTAACTAATCAAGATGATAGGCTCCTACTTGTTAATGATTCTAACTGTAAATCAGTTGATCAAACCAGCAACAAAGGCTCCTCTTGCAACAGGATTTATCCAATGGCTGAGGTGTCCAGAATCTGAATCCAAGGAATCAGCTTCTTACACACTGTTCAAGTCATTTTGGAAGGGCCATAATCATGCCAAATTTAAAACCTCGCATCACCAAAACTGCTGAAACAATGGTATATCGAGTGTCTGTTTTGAAAGCCTTGCCAGAAACGAGTAACTTCACTCTGATGACTCTTTATTTGACAGACACAATGACTACTCACGAGATCAAATTTGCGAGTACATTATTATTCATTGAGATGTGCTTCCGATGTGGTATGTTTGGCTTTGTTCACTTAATGGCATCAATAAAATGCAATGCAAGCATGTTTGGCAAAGCCTTAAAAAAGGTAAAAGTATAATAAGTTTTTGGACAATGTTTCTACTTTTGAGAGTCACGTTTTCATTTTCAACAAGACATACTACAAAAACTTGCTTCTCATGAAATCCTTGCTTTTTATAAAGTAAGTTCCCCCCCCCCCCCCCCCCCTAACTGCTTATCCTTCATAACAACCATTAAGGAGCTCGACTTTTAAGCATTCTTTTTGAACTATATATAGGTAATGCTGATGTTTCCTCTCTAAGAAACCTGTTTCTGAAATAATGGATAGAAAAATTGTGAAAAAAGGTACGAATGTGCACAAATTTATTTGTAGCTTCTCTGCTTTTTGCGCAATTCTAGCTTTATGCCTTAATATAGAGGACTGCTGTTGCGGGGGAGAGTGGGGTTGTATTTGCTGGGGAGTTGTATTTTGCTGGTGCTACTACAAATTCTCAACATTGTGCAAAATATCTATTTGGGAAGTGTTTATTTGTACTTGAAGAAATGTTTCAGAAAAAACATGCCTCTTCTTGTAAATTTGCCCACTCAATTATCATAATTATTTATTATCCATTGTTATTCTTTTGTAGCAGCTGACTTAATGGGATAAGAACTTACTGAATACCCTGAAGAGGTTTTTAAAATAACACCGGTATTTCAGAAGCTGGAATCACCTTATGCAAGAAGTAGATTGTTATTTATGTCAAATCAAAAAATTCACTTGAGGGATCCTTTGGATAGTTATGAGAATTTCAATACACATTCTGTAAGACTTTAATCAATCAATAAATCCTAGAAGGGTCTCGTATAGATTACCAAGTATCGGAGTTCAAATGACCATTTTTTTCTAAAAACAGAAGAAGAAGGGAAGCTAATTTCTGCATTGCTGGCAGACGAGCGAAGTGCAAACTTGATCTCTTACTTGTTATCTAGGTCCGTCTTTCTTTCAGGAATTTACTAACTTTTGTAGTGCCCATCTGAGCAAGTTAGTGCCTAAGCTGTCTTCCTTTCAGGAATTCCAGTATCTATTGTGCATTTGATAAATTTGAATTTGTATCTGCAGGTCCATGGAGAAGTTGCAAGTCCTGAGATTGATGTATTTCATCGAGAAAAAGTGTTTATCGATGAAGTTCTCAGTCCATTAGAATGAAGGTTTCCACGATTTAAATGTGTGAATTGGAAGAGTAGAGTCAAGCGTATTTAATACCTTCCATTTTGGAAGAGTCGTGTGTTTGATATTTAATATTTAATACCTTCCATTTTGGAAGAGTAGAGTCAAGCGTTGGTTAGTCCGACAAAATTAATAGTGTGCTATATTAATTTTGGAAGAAGTATTATATTTTGGGAGATATGTCCATTTGATCTGATTGGAAGATTTCCTTCTAATTTCTACATTTCAGTAAGTTGATATTTTGTACGCGTATCTTGATTTCGGTACATCGAAATTCTATTCTATATTTTGCATGTGCAAGTCACAAATTATCGTCTTTGCATACATGTATTTTCACTAATTTATCCCATAGAGCCTTGAAATGATAGCAAGTTGAATACTTGATGATTATTGAACTCTAAAACTTCAAATATGATACTATATTCCATAGCCGGACCTGAGGAGAGACCCAAGAGGCCTCCACCTCAGGCCCAACTCTTTTAGGGGACCGAAAATATTTTTTTGTTTCCTTTCTTTCTTTAAAAAAAAAAACCACTAATTAAGTTCAAAATCTTCAATAATTGTCCCGTTAAATCAAAACCTAGACCTCTTCTTAAATTCACAACTTATCCAAAATCCGACCATTTTATACTCGACGTTCACTCTTGCTCCAAACAATGAGGTTTCTTCAATAATGAGATTGTAAATCAAGTAACAATATTGTATACATTTAAAGTTAAATTGCTTGATTTTTTTTGTTGATTTATTTAGTCTGTTTTATTGATATTTATTTTATATACACGATTGAAGCGAAAATTAATTGATTGTTATTATATCTAGATTTCTATTAGTTTTTTTTTTTTTTTTTTTTATGACTTTTACATATGCCACAATTTTTAGATTAATCGATTATTTTTTTTGAAATAAAGCATTTTCATGGATTTCTATTAGTTTCTATATTGTGTGCGTGCTATTTTTTTTTTTTTTTCAATTTGGAAAACCCTTTATTTTATGATCATGTAAGAAACACAGAGCCACTAAGGGTTGATAGTTTGGGAAATTATATAAATAAATTGTTTTATTGTTCATATAAGTATTTTCAATAATGAGTTTGTTCGTGGGATTATTTATTTTGCTTTGTTGAATTTGCACTGCTTTGTTATTTGATCTCTGTTTTGGTGTCGAGTGTGAGTATGGTGGTTTTGGGGGTACTGTAGGGTTTGAATTAGGAATACTTATTTCACTGTGGAACAAAAGTAAGGATATGCATCAATATTGCTACCAATTTGAATGCACTCTACACCCCTTTTTTGTGTCAAATTTCTCACTTGCTTTCTGAACATGTTTTGCACATTTTGGATGCTCTTTTATTTGATATTGATAATCAAGATCGATATGTCAATGTAAGATCTGCCAACATCTCCTCAAAACTTGTATAGTTTCAATCTAATCACATAAAATAGGAGGCGTAGGCTCAAGAATGTTTTTTTTTTTTTGGCTTTCTTTGAGTGATTTTCTTTAAAACTATGGTATATATGAATTTAACTGCCCTTGATTTATGAATTATGACTCACGAGAGATTCATGAATCCATTAGTTAATTAATTATTATGTATTTATTTATGTTATCATTCTTATGAATTTGCCTTTTCCCTTTGGTTTAATTCACTATTTTTAATTGTTTGACATTGTTATTTTATCCCTAAATGGTCTACTACTCTATCTCATATATTATATATAACTATGGTCTATGCTATGCGTTGGTACAATGTTTTGACAAAAAACTCTATCTTTTAATCTTTATTTCTTAAACTAATTTGAACGTCATTTTACACTCAAATTCCAGTTAGTGTTAGCTATTATGTGATTTGAGTGACTTCACTTAATGTATTTAAGTGATCGTTTAGAACATTTTTGCATTGTTATTTGACTATAATATAAATATTTTGAATATTTCATTTTATTTATTGTTGATTTTAAGTTAACAAATTTAGTTGCGTAAAACTGTTATAAATGAAAAAATTTGATTGCATTCTATGATTTAAAAGCCCAAATTCTGAAATTCGCCTTAGATCTTGCGAAACACATACAGCCATTCTAGTCTAGACATTTCAGTATATTTTCGGTGGAATGAAATTAATATATTTTCCTCTTCTTTGAAGATCATCACCGACTTTTGGGAAGATTCTAGATTTTTCCACATGCAGCCAGCTCTAGAAGAAGAAGAAAGAAAAAAAAAATTCACCTCCATTCTAGAGCTTTCCGGCCTCCACCTCCATTGAAGGATTTACCTAGGATTTTGCGAAGTCTCCTCCACCGACAATCGCTTAGTATATATATGTGTGTTTAGCCTTTGCATTTTGCGAAATAAGCAGAGAGAAAGTGATGAGGTACAGTGCTTTGAGAGAGAAATAAGTAAGTGTGGTCAATATAATATTAGAGAGAAGTGTAGTGGCTATTTTCAAAATTGTAAAAGTGATTTATATCATTAAAAATTATTATTTTTAGGTGTTTAAACTCAACAATTAGATATCAGAGCTCAGCATTCTTATTGTTGTAAATGTTTATTCTGATTTCAATCATATTTTTTAGGATTTGTTTCAGCAACCGTCACACAGCAGGTCGGATCAAATTTTATTAAATATAAGTGAAACATGTGGAAGTAAAAAATTCTTTCTTGGAACTGAAGAAAAAAATGATTGTCCACGCAGATGTGATGGTATTTATAATATGCGTAGCTTTGTCAGTATTGCAATGGTTTTCGAAGAGGTAACTTCTGCGGAAACCTCCTGTTTTTTCTTAGAGTCACCTTTAATTCTTGACGTGATTAATTGAGCATACGTTGTGGTCGACTTGTTTTTTCATTTCAAGATCTCGAAGTATAAGGTTAATCAGCTGGAGAAAAGACACTTGGATAATGTGGAATTCTTAAGCTAAACTCTACATAATATACTAAACACATGAAATCTGATTCTGATAGAAACGACTTCATCTTGTTTCAGCCAATGGTATAGATCGAATGCACACGCTACTACAATATCAAGTTTTTGACAGTATGTAGTGTTGGTGCAAGCCTTATGTATGTGCGGTGAAAGGGTTGTTAAATTATAGAACCAACAAGAACAAAGTTTAATTCGCAGGAATGTAATTAAACACTATAATTATGGGGTTGGAAATGTAGTATGTAAACTACAAACGAAAAAACCAAAAAATAAAACCAAGAAGGAAAGAAGAAGAAGAAGAAGAAGAATAAGAAAAGAATAATTCGAGACAAGTGAATTACACTCTTTCCTTAAGACAAAATCGCCACGCAATAGTGCTCACGATTCACGTCACTTGTCTCCCAAGATACAACGGATTCAACTTGTGGTGGAAGCACTACAAACCACAAATTACAATGAACTTTCGACAGAGTTTCTCTCTACAAGAGGAAAATGACTTTTGAATGGCTTTGGAAATGATTTTGCAAGAGATTTATGAAACGCTCAATGCAAGTATGATATGTGATTATGAATTGAATTAATAAGATTCAAATACTTGGGGATTTATATATAGTAATTGAAAATGTTTGTTTTAAAAGACAACCATACAAAAGGACACACATCTTGAAATTTATCTCTATTCATGAAGAGACACACCCATTCAAAAATAATTATGCTACAAGTCATGATCTTTTATATATGAAAAGACACACATTTCCATCCAAATATTTTCTAGAATATTTCATAATATTCTATACCATTTTCCAACAATTCAAGTATTTAAACAACTAAAACTTGGTTTAATTTTCCATTCATCAAATAATGAATTCCACTTAAATAATGATTTAAAATTGGTAACCAATTTTCGATATAAGATTCCAACATGTACTAGTTTTATTCATGTTGAAATTGCATGGAATTGTAATGATATGCCTTAAATCAACTCTCTTGTTTACTCTATTCAAGTAAGTGTAGATGGAAAGCATATTTTCTTTTCTTTTCTTCTTGAAGAATTTGCATTAACACAAGAAAAAAGGCCTTTTGCAACATGCAAAATGCAACATTCATCAATTGCATGTTGCTAAAAGGGGTCTATGGCAACATTCAGCAAGTGAATGTTGCTATTGGTTGACAAAATTGAGTTTTGGCAACATTTTTTTAATAAATGTTGCTAATATACCATTTTTGCAACATTCGCAGTCATTTTGCAACGTGCAATGCGCGTTGTCGTAGATTAGTTTTAACAACGTGCATTGCACGTTGTCATTAGATGTTTTAGCAACGTTCATATAAACGTTGCCATTAACCTTTTAGCAACGTTCATTGTACGTTGCCATTAATAGATTTAGCAACGTTCATTGCACGTTGCTATTGATAGTTTTAGCAACACGCGTACATTGCACGTTGCCATTTAATAGTTATAGCAACGTTCATATGAATGTTGTCATTAACCTTTTAGGATTGCTAAGGAGGAGAGACGTAAAAAGGAGGAGGATGAAAGAAAGGCCGCAGAAGCTGCGTTAAATTAGAAAAAATTGAAGGAGAGAGAGAAAAAGCTATTGCGCAAAGAGCGGACCCGGCTTCGAACACTTTCTGGAGCTATCTTGTCCCAGCATTTTCTTGATCTTTCTGATGATGATGTGGAAGGTCTTTGCATTTCACTTGATATTGAACAATTAAGGAATTTATGTGACAAGATGGAAAGAAAGGAAGTGCTAGGGAGAGCTGAACTTCTAAGGGAGGCACTTGGATCTGATAACAAAGCGAAGCATATGAAGCATAATGAGAAGAAGAACGAACAGCAGAATGGTTCTATGGGGGTGAATGATCAAGTCATTTTTGGCAGCAATGAGCAAAGGGAGAATCCCTAGAGAAAAGGGAGAATCCCTGGGGCAAAGAAGAGATTGAGATGTTAAGAAAGGGGATGCAAAAATATCCTAAAGGAACTTCTCGGAGGTGGGAAGTGATTTCTGAGTACATTGGTACTGGAAGGTCAGTTGAAGAGATTCTGAAGGCTACAAAAACTGTTCTTCTTCAGAAGCCTGACTTCGCCAAAGCTTTTGATTCCTTCCTTGAGAAAAGAAAGCTAGCACAATCAATTGCATCTCCTCTTACAGCTAGAGAGGACTTTCCTGGGATATCAAACGGCAATGTGCCCGAGAGGAATGCTTCTGATCCAAATAATTTGCCTGAGTCATCCAGTGGAACTGGAAGCTACCAGAACTTGGATGATCGTGCAGCTTCTAATGGTGTTGCTTCAAGTTCAGATCAAGATGCATGGTCGTCTGTTCAGGAAAAAGCTTTGGTTCAAGCTTTGAAGACCTTTCCCAAGGAAACTAGCCAGCGGTGGGAACGAGTTTCAGTCAAGGCTCATGTCGATAATTACTGAGAAGAAAATTAAGGAGGCCGGTGGGACTGTTTTACTCACTGCTTGGGGCTTGTGGTAGTTTTTTTTTTTTAAATGTATTAGATTTTTAGGTGCTTTAGAATTTTGGATTCAAATTTTGTATGGATATTGTTACATTTTGGAGTTTAATTAACGATGATTATTGGAGTTATTTGATATTGATATCAACGTTCGATGCACGTTGCCAAAAGTTGGAACTCTACGGCGACATCAAAGCCCGCAACGTGCACTCGAAAACTGCTAAAGGTCTATGACAACGTTTTTCGCGTGTTGCCATAGGCTGTTTCTGGTGTAGTGATTGGAAAATCAGGAAACTGCAAGAAGTCTGCTCCCCTCCTGATTTCTTGTGATTCAGCTCTGAATTTAACAGACGTCCCCTATGATTTTGAGAGAAACGACATTAAAATATTGAAGAAAAAATATAGACAAAAGCTTTTAACTATTGCAAACTGCAAAATATTTGAAACTAGTTAAAAGGCATCTGAGAACATGTTCTTGCATCATTATATTTTTGGTAAATGTTCTTGTTTATAATATCAACCTATATACTTTTCATAGAATTTATCCCAACTTTAGCTAGTGATGGTCCAATCATCAATTTGCTTTGAGAACAAGTAGCAATGTCAAAGAATTCATTAGATCAAAGAATCTTCTAGTTATTTTAGTGAATATACATTTGAATTCTCAATATTTTTTGCGTTATATATTATCGATTGAGGATGGTTTTCCTGGTCATACCAACCAAATCTCATTTTTCAAGTTGTCGAATTTCTAGTTCAGCATATCATATTCTTCAATTATAGTAATATAGTACAAACCAAAAGGAAAATGAGTAACTTTTCTAATACACATTTTTCCTGACGATAGATGTGAGTATACAGGTTATTAATGTTGCCTTTGCAGTCACATTATGGTAACTGTTTTTTTTTTTTTTTTTTTGCAATGGAATGGAAGATTCATTATCATAACGAAGTTACAAATGTGACTTATCAATATAGGAAAACCTGACTATAAGCCAATCTATGCAAACAGCTCTGGAGCACCCCCGCACACAAAGTGACCGACATTGTCTTAACTTCTAAATCTCTCCGAAAAGAGAGAGAGAGAGAGAGAGAGAGAGAACACTCTAAACAAATAGAGTCACGCGGTTGCTATGGACTCTAAGTCCAAAAGTCAATTACAACACAAATACAAACAAAATAACAAAAGCTACAACACAAAACAACAACAAAACAAAAGGACCACAAGCACGGGTAAAAGCCCCGACGGAACACCTATTGCAAGCATCGACAATGTGAACCCAGACGACACGAGTACCCGGCTCGCATACAGAACACCACAACCTCCATAGCGGAGGCCAGCCGTACGGCCCCCGGCCTATACTTTGTTCGCCACTCTCGACCTACACTTGCCCCAGAGTGCGACCGATCAAAAGCCTCGTCACCTTACTTAGGTCAAAACAAAGGTTTGAAAAGAACAAACCAAACACATCTCCGGAGACCGGAGTGACAAAACTTAAAACGTAGGGGCCGAGGCGCTTGCAAAAACAAACACCACATAGGAGGAAAGACGACGATCGATCGTTGAAGACGCGGCCGCGCCACTCTAAACAAATATGGTAACTGTTATGGGGGCATTTTTGAAACTCCACAGGATTCCTTTATTTAATGATGATCAAAGTATTCTCAACGCTAAATTTTGTTCCTCAATTATTGGCTCTTCTTGAGCGTCCATGAAATATATAATCAAAATTAATTGTTGATTTCAACTTAATTTTTTATCAATTTTTTAGTAAAACGAAACATGGACTAAGCATTCTCTATTCTATTACAAAATTAACACAAAACCCACTCAAACATAAGCTCATAGAGAGAGACAAAATTAGACACATAAAGCTAAAACCTTCTACTTTGATAAAAGCATAAAGGAAGCATAGATTCTTACTTTTCCCTGTGATATCAAAAGAAAATTTATTTGCCTAATCTACAACCACTATTAAAGTTAACAATCTAATAATGCACCTGAATAGCTGGCAACCAATTTGTAAATTATAGTAAATTTGCCATAAAAATCATAAGTCATAACATCACATCCGGCATTTTTGTGCTATAATTAAGGTGCTCTTGTGCTGTAAAGTATATGATTATGATTTCAATCATGCTATATGTACATCATCCTTTGCCTTATTTTTTACATTTTGCCATTTGAAAATATACAGTTGGACAGTTTAAAATTTTTTTAGGGTCTGTTCGATTGCAATAGTGGAATTTGGGAGGAAATAAAATAAATTCCAGGGAATTNAAAAAAAAAAAAAAAGGTAAAATGGTGGAAAATGGTTTTCCACAGAACCAAGGAAATGATAATTGTGTGAGCCAAACCAAGAAAATGATTTCCATGATAAATTTGGGTTATCAAACAACACTTTTTGGGGAAGATGGAATTTTATTTTTAATTTCCATGGAAAATCCTTCAAATCAAACATGCCCTTATAGTTTTTTCACTCAATCAACACTTGCCAACATATATCATGTCAATCATAATGTCAAAAAAGAATGTACAAATGGTATTTCCTCGTAATTTAGCTATTGAGATTTTTATCCTTGGCATGTTCTCGTAATATGACGACTTGTTTGAGAATACTAATCTTGAATTCCGCCGTTCTTATGAGATTTAGCCCTTGTTTGATTTAATTAAAAATTAGATTTTAGTATATTTTGTTAGAAATTACTCAATTGTGTGGTTAAAAAATTGATAAAAATTGTGGTTGGGTAGGTGAAATGAATTCGAGGAAAAACAATTTTTTGGAAAAATGCAGATCAAATAGGGGCTTTGACAGATTGAAACTCTTGTCTGAGTTTTTAGTTCAAAAGAGGATGGAGGCTACTTTCGGGGCGAAAACCCGAAGCATTTGACTGAATCTTTCATAGCCCTTTCATTAGTGTTGGGGATGAATGAAACCATTCAGAAGTGCAAATTGCGCAAGCGAAGCCGGGAAATGGGATTGCAGCGCAATGACTAGGACTCGTGTTGGATTGGATTTTTTTCCCCATATTTTTGCAATGTAAGATTTACCTTAACGTACGATTCATTGTACCCATAATGATGCAAAAAGAAATGGCATTGTAGAGGAGCCTGATGTCAAGATTCAAGCAACTTTGCTGTCAAATTATTCCTTAATTTGTTTATTATAACATGACACCTTTAGTTAATTAATGCGTCCACGTAAAATCTATCATAGTACAAGTTGTAAAGGAGAGGATGCTATGACTACTTGAAAGTTTAGTAGTCGCCTTATGTGTATGTTCCATTAGCCAAGGATGTCATTGAAACTGGCTTTTTGTTGTCGACATAAGTAGTATTAGACAAAACTGGACAATGTTCAAGCATTTTCTTCCCACGAGGATAATATATTATATAGAAAATTCGGCAAAATATACAAATAGAGTATAGTTTCAAAAGAAACTGGTGTAATAGGAGCCACAAGGTCACAATATACCATGAATATATATTCCTATCTTAATTTTCAGGGATGTTGCAACGGGAGAACACCTGCCGCAGGGTGAATTCTGTAAAACCCCCGGAAGAAGCTTCGGCCACCGGAACCCGAGCCCGAGTCAGAACCCTCTTTATTTCCCAAGCTTTTCAGCATTTTCTTCTCCCTGATCATCTTTTTCATTACGTACAATTCAGCAATGCAAATATTGGGAGTTGACATGATTGCAAAATGGAAATAACAAGTATAAAATGATGAGATTTAGATGAATAACTAAGTGGGATTTGTTTCACATATAAATAGATGTAAGAGCAGGCAGTAAGGGGCCAGAGGCCGATTAATTTAACAGTGAGTGGAGAGGCTATTGGGATGTGATGTTGGACCATAATATGAGTATATATCTGGTTAGTGTTGGACAGATGTACTAATAATTTAGCACTTTATCTTGGAATTCCTTGTCATTTACCACTAAAAAGTAATAAAATAGAAGAATAGTTACGTCCAAATCATGTTTGTTTAGTTATTTGAGGTCACTATTCACGTCACCATGAATGGGATGGAAAACGGGTTTTCATCTTCTCGCACAATAAACTTCGTAGTATCATACGATATTAAAGAAAGCATTAAAATCTTATTTAATTTCTCGTCTCCACATAAGAAATAGGGATTGAATCCTCGAAATTTTATACGAGCTCTGACGTGCTAACTTGAAGTCGCACACAAACCGCTCTGACATGACAAACAAATAGTCAAGTATAACACTAGGAGCAAGAACCCTATAAATATAGTCTGTGTCCCCAACGTGACACGACGTTCAAGAGAATCAATATACTTCTAACCAAGGATGTTGGCGGTTGGCCTTCTACTAGTTGGATTTAAGTTTGATTAAATGATTTTGATTTGTGAAATATAGTACGTCGATTCTAATTTTAAGTTAGATCAAGAAATAAGAGTTAGTGGTGAAGGGACAGAGGGCGGGGGTGAAATTTTTTGCCCTCACCCCCTGTGAAAATCTTAGCCGTGTCACTAATATGATCCATGATACAAATTATCACGAACTCATGCTTTAGACTGCAGTGGATTTCTCTTTAAGAACACTTGGAGCAACTTTGAGATAAAGACGTCGGAGTTTATCCCAAGCCTCTTCAATGATTGGAGTAAAAGAAGTAGTGTTTGCTTCTCTTGGGGAGAGGGGGTATTATTTATTTGTATTTGTTGGTTCAAATCCCAGTTAAGGATAGATTATAATTCATTCATTGTCATTCACGGATAGATTATAATTGATTCAATCCCACTAGCGATATATAGATTATAATTAATTTAGACGAGATAAGATTATCCAGTTCTACAAGATCTTTAATTGATTAAGCACGATTCTCTAGAGGCTGCCATGGATTTTCTTTGTAATTTGATCTTGATTCATTTAACTAAATTCAATTGAATGTCAACTATCATGATGAGATTCTAAGGAAAGATTTAAGATATTCTC